CAAAAGTTTTTAATTTTAAAAATTCACATATTTTTTGACCGTTAATTTTCAAATATTTTTTGACAGTTAATATTCAAATATTTTCAAATATATTTAAATCAGACTTGCGTCATTTCATTTCGAAGAAATTCGAAATTGGCTCCGAAAAATTCGAAATTTATTTCGAAAATTTAAACTCAATTCAACCGGTAAAACTTTAAAAAATTCTATGTTGAATTTTGAGCATTTTAGCTATGATAACTACTGTCAACTAGCTTAGAATCAAAGCTTGTTATTATTTATGAACATTGATAAGCTTTAAAATCATGAATATCAAGAAACAAAAGAGTTTTTTGCAGAAATATTTTCAAGAAATTTTTACACTTACACACTTACATTTTTTTGTTGACATTTTTCAATTTCAACTGAATTTTCTTAATTTAGGAATTTTCTTACTTAAAACAATGATTAACAACTTACTGATCACATAATTAATGATACTGATCGAAAAGCTTCATAATCTGTAGCTTAATTAAAGCAAAATTTTGTTTTATGCTTTAACGGAAAATAAATTTTGAATTTTTCAAAATTTTACATAACTGCCAACATTTGAAATGACGCAAGTCTGATTTAAATCGTTATAGCTTCAAATATTTATTTATTGTCAGAAACTCAAAAAAACTGCGCCTCTAACCCTCTCACTCAATACCTCTTTTACTCATTTTGCAATGCATTTAATTTCTCTCCTTCGCTGACTTTATTTTTCAACTTAAAATAAATAAATATAGGTCAGTTAAATGACGTAAAGTAATAAAATATAGGAGCGCCCAGCACCGACACATTCTCATAAAGATTTTAATTAATTGATTCCTGTAATGATTCATTTTAATTTTATTAGCTGTTTGCAAAAAAAAAGAATGTCGGCTTAGTACGTAGAAATCCATTAGAACATATTTCACGGCACTATTTATTATAAAGATAATGTTATTAATGCGTGATGGCATTTAAAATATTTGCTAAATAAATTGCAGATAAAATTGCTTTGTAATTATCTTGATTGAAAAATTTATGCTGAATATAGTTGTAGTTGTTGGAATCGAATCGAATTGATTTTATTCCTACGTAGTCGACTTTAGAGACTAAAGTCTGTTGATAATTGTGAATATGCGTTTAGATTGTTGCAAACTGTAATGTTTTGTGCATTCAGATCAACTTCTGGTGAGAATCGAACTCACATCCTCATAAAAGATTCTAGTCTGCATTTAAAGCCTTAAAGCTAATCTCATTTGAAAAATTCCCATAAACAATTCTAAAACTTCGTTGGCGATTTCCATTACATGATTTATTACATCACATCCACATTAAGTTCAGAAATCACTCAATTAATGGTCAAGTCCAAAGCATATTATTTTTTTTTGCATGATTAATTGGCGCCTACCAAAAAAATTTATCTCAAATCTCATGTGAAAATGTGTTTTAAATAGAAGAATAAGAAGACCGATGACTACCAGGAAATGGAAGCTGACAAAAACTATTCTTTTCGCATGTCATGACTTCTCTTTTAAATTTAATTATTTATGTGTTTATGCCTGCTGCAAAAAAAGCTGTGCCTATCTTAACATCTCGCGGGCATGAATAAAGCAGAAATGGAATCTATTACCCCGTGCTGCTGCTTGTTCGTGCCTCAAACAGTTTTTAATGTCAAAGGTTTTTTTACCTTCACACTTTATTTAGTGCTGTTGATATTATTAAATATTTTTCTGTCGCACTATAATTTATTCAGCATGCCTATTTTAATTCTTTCTCATTGTGTCATAAATGGAACTTAGCTGGAAGAAAATTGGCAGATCGGAACTCCTGAAATGGCAGTTATTAGAATTATTATTAGATAGAATTTAGAATGTAGGTGTTCATAATGTGCATAACACTCAATTGTCTGGACGACAATTAATTAAGTAATTTTTGAATTATAGATTTAATGTAAACATCTGGCAAACAATGAGAAGTTGGGATGGTAATTAGTGTTTTTAGAGGCAAGAGACGCATTTTTCGACTATTCTGAGGTTGTTAAAACTAGACTTGAAGCTTTTTTGAACTCAATCCGGAGCATTTTGGGAACTTAATTTGGAACTTTTTTGAAACTTAATTCGGAGCAGTTCTGAAACATAATTACGAGCTTTTTGAAACTTTAATTACTTTGAACTCAATGCAAAGCTGTTTTGAAATCAATTCGGAACTTTTTGAATTCAGTTCGGAGCTATTAAAACTCAGCTTTTTGGAAGATAATTAGGAACTTTTTTTGAAAATTAATTTTTTTGAACTCAATGCAAAGCTTTTTAATCTCGATTCGGAGCTTTTTTGAACTCAACTCAGACCTTTTTTGAACTGTACTGGGAGCTTTTTTGAACTCGATTCGGAGCTTTTTGAAACTTAATTCGGATCTTTTTGGAACTCAAGTTAAAGCTTTTTATACATAATTCTGACAACCAGACAATTCAAATTCAAAACATCACTTCCAACAAAATCAATTTTCTAACATTAAGAAAAAATTAGCAAATGCGAATTGTAATCATGATTCTGAACTTAAGGCGATTGCAATCTAGCTAGTCGAGAATTATTGGCTATAGCAAAAATAAATAAAAAATCCTGATATAAATGACATTGAGGAAAAAATCTAATGATTGATGTATAATTTTCAATTTCATGAGTGAACGAGACTTCTTAAGACTCGAGTCTAGTCCCTGTTGAGAACTCAATTAATCTTTATTAAATTAATATTCTATATGTACATGATTCATACTATTCTAATTGTGATTTACACATACATACAAGGAACGATAAAGTGCTCCAAATAATTGCCAATTAGCCTCTCTATCATCGTGCATAATTCAACTTATACTTAACTTTACCTAATTGCTTCTAATATGCCACACACTTTTGGGCTCGACATAATTGCGAAAAATGCTCTAAATCGAAACAAAAAGTTATTAAATGTAGATAGGAATTAGAAATTCACAATGCAAAAAAATGCTCGGATATACGAAATGGAATTTTCATTACAAATCATGTGAATCACTCAACATTGTTGTTAAGTCGACTGATTCTCGTGAAAAAAAAATTGTGCAACACTTGGACATGAAACTGCTAATTTTCTGTGTCGTTTGATTGGATTTTTGATGGACTATAAAGTAGCCCACATACCCTTATTGCTTATTATAAGCTGATTTGTAGTTGAGAATTGACAATTTATGGGTAACAAAAATAAGTTGCATTAACACTTAAATGTGTTACATTTGAAATAATAAAATAACAATAGTAAACTACTTTTATGTCTATCTGAGAGTTTGCATTTAAATGATGGTACCGAGCAGCACATGAGTTGGGATTTTTAATGATATGGATGTCTTTGACTGTTTTAAGATATCCTAAGTGGCCACTGTTCTAATACGGGAAGCTAAGGCATCCAACCTATTATACACAGGGTTACTAAACCTACTCATACCTAGAATCTTTGAGGAATATTTCAACCAATTCTTGCCATCTATGGCTACAGCAATTCATTCTACTGCACATCCATCCTATATTCTCAATTAAAATCGTGTGCTACTCTGAACTTAAAAATCTCACAATTATTTCCATTGATTTTTAATAATTTGCTTGCCATTGAATGTCAGATTTTTCGCAAAAAAAACAGCCATTGATGCCATTAGAAATTGAAAAACTACTCTTTAATAATTTTATATTAATATTGCCAATCATCACATGAAATTCAATAAGCTTGCGTTTAAAAATATTTAATTACTTTTTGTTTGATCGTCAAGCAAAAAATTGGTTTTGAAATTGAACAATTCACATATAATTTGTGTCTGGTAAAATGAATTTCAATGAAATCTCCAAAGACCGTGAAACAAAGCACGAAATGCATGAAGATATTTATTTGATAGATTTTTCAATTCTTGTCTAGACTTGGAAAATTTTGATGAATGATATTGGGATTGTTGTAGATTTTTGTGAGATTCTAAAGCATGTCTGGAGCTAAATTCCGGTTTTGAGGCTTAAATACTTCTACAAGCTGGAGTTGTAAAGAAACTAAAGAGCCTCGATAGCTTGGGTGGCAAGGGAAAGGTCATAATCATTTGTGTTGACTTTGAAATCCAGAGTTCGAATCCTAAGAGCATTTTTGTAATTTTGAAGAATTTTTATGTCCTTTGTAACTTAATTTGATCTTTGTCAACTAGCAATCACTGTCCAAGAAACTCTAAATCAAGCTATTGACAAGTATTTACATTGTATGCTAATCAACAACTCGATAAAGTTCAAATCAAACATTTTCATTCGATATCATTAAGTTCCTATTTTCCATTCAAACAAAAAACTGATCCAGCTTTCAAATCCACTCGAATTTCCATCAGCATTTAATCCAGAATCAGGCCACGTCAGCTTGTTAAAAAAACTTATCGTAATTTTTCAATTCTTTTAGGAAATACGACTAGAAACGTGAGTCAAGCAAAATAAAATATCCAAATCATTAGAACTGCCAAGAAATTGCAAATAAACTAGGAAAAGAGCGCGGTTCCGCTTGATCGAGAATGGAAAAGCCTTGAAAGACCTTGACAAATATGCAATGCTATGAAATGAACTTTAAATACATTCATGCTTAACAAGACAATAGGATAATTTCTATGACTGTATATATTTTTTTATGATCGGTCAGCAAAAGTCACACATATGGAGCAATAGTCGATTTATTATTGCTCTTACCTTCCCGATTTTTTAATGTGTGTCTCGAGGAATTGAAATGAGACAAAAAAAAGTATGAATGAGAAACAAAATCTCCCGTCCATACACAAAACAACAAATAAACAAGCGTGCTTTTCATTATACACAGAGCCAATAGCATGTGCATGCCAAACATGAGAGTGGGAATGAGAAAGAAACAGAGTGAGTAGCAAAACTTGGGGTGCTGAGAGACACAAGCCAAACAATATATAAAGCCCGAAGTCGATTGATTTCATTATCATTCAATTCATAGCACTTGAAGTTAAATCAATTCGTTCTTTTAAAGACAAAAATATCCAAACCTTAAAATGGCATTCATTAAAGTGAGTTTAAAAAAAATTATTATTTTGTGTTGTTCAGCAGAAATTAGCTTTAGATTCTTGTGTGAAAAAAAAATAATTAAAGAAAAGATCACAATATGAATTCTTAATAAGTCAGATGCTGAGAAAAAAAAACTGATCGTGATCTGAAATTCTGACTAGAAGTTGAAATAAAGTTTTTAAGTAGTGCAACATTTTGTAACATTTTACCTTTCATTGTTCAAAATTCACAGTCAATTGTTGTCCTCGCCGTCATCGGAGTTGCTGCTGCAGGTCTCGTCCCAGCTGCATATGTTGCTGATGAACATTCTGCTGACTACTACGTGAGTATATTAAGTTATTGGTGGATAAAAGGCTTCATTTTGAAGTTGCCAAGGGTTCACAAGGCTTCAGCTGGATGTCAAGTGATTTCTGGATAGAAACTCATTCTTAATGATGAGATTTTCAAGTTAATTTGACAATATAGATTCGCATTATCTTGGTTTAAACTAGTTCTTAAAATTAAGAACTAAAATCCCGGGTGGACACAGCCAGTTAAAGTCCATTATTGGACAATCATTTAACAGTCTTTTAACTTGTCGAAATATATACGATATAGAGAACTATACGTTAACTAGACTTTAACTGGACATTCATGCTAATCAATCAAGTGTTCGAAACTCAAAAATAATTTTCCTTACTTTTTTGACCATATACTTCACAAGCGCTTACAGAAATCACTTATATAAGGTCCACCAAAATTTGTATGAAACTTTTAAGTAAATATAATTGTTTCACGCGCAAGTGTTCGAGACTCAATTTTTACTAGAGATTTTTCATAAGTGATAGTGTACTTTAATTAATTAATTACACTAATACAATAATAAAATTTTACAAAAGAAAAAAATATGGAGAAAAAGACACGTGTTATTTATTTTATTTCGATTTTTTTGTAACTGGACATTAACTAGACATATTTGCAATTCCTATGTCCAGTTAAATGGAAAGCGCAAAATATGTCATTAGTCGTCCCTAAGTCTAGTTGCAAAGGCACGTCAATGGATACTTACTCGCCGTGAAAAGGCAAGTCAATGGCAAGCTTTTAACTAGTACTTTGTCCACTCGGGAATATGATTAGAAATCGCAACAAAACTTAATAACTGTCTTTAAACTTGTCTAGAACGCAAAAATTGTCTAATTTCCTTCATTAATACAAATAAGAACTTCCATTTCATTGATTTTTGAGCCAAAAACCTTAAATCTTTAAGTTTCGCGCCCAAAAACTCTTCGCGCCATTTTTCTACATCTAAATTCTCCCAAAACATTAAAATTACTATCAGATTCTCAACATCTACCTCAAAAATTCCATATCAAACCATAACTCCAATCAATCCCCAAGCTAGTCACATCCAATTCAAAAAATTCCATCCCCAGAACCTCCTACAAAACAAAGAACCAAACTTAATCTCAAAACATCCAACTTAAAATTAATTGCAAAGCTCAGTTCCTCATTATCTGACAACCTTGATCATAATTTTTTCTGTACATAAAGATCTGCCTTTAAGGAACAAAAATCAGCTGCCTCTGACAGCGACAAACAAACAAACAACAGGCATGATGCTGTGTTAATTTGGCTCGTAATATGAAATTAAAAAATAGTTTTTTAAAGGCTGTAAAAAAAAGATCTTTTGTGCCTCTCACTTGACAAGTTGTAATCACATGTGTCTTAATAATGAGGAAATATAATGTGTCGAAACCTTATGATTATTATTATAGTGTAGCATGCATGCATAAATGTGTAAATGCTAATTATGGTTCTAATTTTCATCTTGTCTTTATAGTCACACCCAAAATACTCATTCAACTATGGAGTTCATGATGGTTTAACTGGTGATGTTAAGTCACAAAGCGAACACCGTGATGGTGGATTCGTCAAGGGACAATACTCACTCGTCGAACCAGACGGTTCAGTCCGTACAGTCGATTATACAGCTGATGATGTCAATGGTAAGTTATTTGACTGATCTGCGCAATAATGTCAAGATTTAACAAATTTTTTATAATTGATGTTTCAGGATTCAACGCTGTCGTCTCAAAGTCAGCTCCATCAGTTCACGCTAAAGTTGTTGCCCCAGTTGTTCATGCTGCTCCAGCTGTTGTAAAGACAGTTGCTCCAGTTGCCTATGCTGCCCCAGCTCACTATGCAGCTCCAGCTCACTATGCATCAGCTCACTATGCACCAGCAAGCTATGCTGCTCATGTTGCCCCAGTCAACTATGCCACAGTTGCCCACCACGCACCAGCACCACTTGCTTATGCTGCCCCAGTTGGTAAGTTCTATTATTATTTACGGATGTAGATTGAACTTTATTAATTGAATTATTGTTCTGGTTTAGCCCACGCTGCCTACCCAGCTTACGGTTATGCTGCTCACGCTCCAGTCGTCAAATCACCAGTCTGGCACTAAATGAATAGTTTAAAGCTTCAAAAACTTTATATTTCTTAAAATACTCCGCTCAAAATGTGATTCCATCTTATGGCTGCCATTTATGAATAAATTAAAAGATTTTAAATTTGGAAATTGAAACAAAAAGAACGAATTTGTTGAATTCAGCACGTGAAAAAATTCTTACTTCTTCTCATGTTGATCGATAGGCCATGCTCATCTACTTGCTAACAAAAAAAAAACTTCTTGGATAAATCAAAACACTAACTTCTTCATCATGTCTACCAATTTCACGAAGCATCTGCGCAGTAGCGATCAACATCCATCTCTATTATTTATTTATATCCATGCCTCTCCTTCACCTTCATAACATCATTACTTCATTTCCACTGCCATCATTTAAATTAGAAATAAAAAAAAAATCTTTGTAATAAAATCTTGATAAATTGCAGCAATAAGCTTGTATAAAAAATTGTAAATAATAAATTTGAACGAATATGAAAAATAAATAAAGTCGTTGAATGAATTTCACGAAAAAATATAAAATTTCAATTCTTTTCTTCTATTTATCGAGGAGGAAATTGTATTTCAGGAACAACAATAAAATATTTTTTTTTTTTTTGGCAAATAGGAATGTCGATTCATGGCCATCGAATTTAGGATTGCTGAGTAATGCAAGATAAATGAAAAGCGGCTTTATAAATAGTCAGGTATTTGCAAATTATTTAATTATTGGTTGTTTTATAAAAATAATAATAATAATAATTATAGCTCCTAAGTATTAAGCAATAGTTATGCTAATGTATTAAATTGACATAATGTGTAAATCGTGGGTTTTTAAGGTTGAATTAAATTGTTCTTTTGTGGATGTTAGAAATAGAGTTTTTGATCTTTTTTAAATTCTATCCTGAAAGTCAACAAGAAATGGTCGGTAATATCCAAGAATGCCTTTCCTCAAGCATGCATCTGAACTATTTGTCATCTTCTATAGATACTCCCGAAGAGCATAAGGTGGAATATCGAGACGGAATCCTAGCTTAGGATTTCATCTCGATTATCCTACTTGAGCTATTCAGGACTAATGAGATCTGACATGTCTAGATTGGGATTTCAGTCAAAACTAAATCAAAAGGTATATTATGGCACTTCCGCAAAAATTGAGCATTCAATCTAAAGAAGATTGATTGTTTGATAGACACGTAGTAAGTTTGTTTTCTGGGTCTATATCAAAATTGTTCTCTCCTTTGTCAAGGCCTCAGTCATACCACCAATTCCTGTTCAGCACAAGAATTCAATCAACTTGGTCAAGACTCTCTCAAGACAATTTTTTAAAAACCAAAAAAAAAATCTCCCATACCAACATAAAACCCATGTCAACTTAATAATGTCAGCACATCAACATAAACTTCAGATCAAATTAAGATTGCAAACAACAAAACCTCATTCTGGTCGAATTACAAAATCTTTTAACCTCTAGCCGGAGCAAGAACTTCATTTGACTAGCTTTATTCTCCGCATTCCTTTTAAGGTCGACCACAAATCTATGCATGTAATAAAAAAAAATCATTTTATATCCATGTAGATTTAGTTTTTTTTCTTCTCTTTATTGTACACTGCTTTCAGCGATCTAATGTGTAATGAATTGCTGTAGTTATTATTATTTACATGAGATTTATCGGCTTTGTAATGGAACTGTTGGATTGGAGTGGAAAAATTATCTCACAATATGATTTAGAGTATTCATGACCCACATTAAAGATTTAAATACTGTGATGTTATTCAAATAATAAGGGAACTGATCTAGGCAGGGTAGGGAGCTAGATGTAAGGCTTAGGCATCGGGTATAATTTTTTAAGAATGCATAGACACAATACCTAGACTTTTAAAGATTGTCTACACATCCAGATTCTCTAATGACTATAACCAGACTCTAGCTACTTCATAGATTGCATATTTTCCATCTCGAACCTACAAATTAAGAATCTCAGACTTCATTTTCAGTTTAAATGGCTGAAGAAAGTACAAGTTTGCCTTTGATGAGTTTCGAACCTAAGACCACTAAATCACTGTTGTAATTAATTGATTATAAAGCTCTAGACCACTGCGCTAATGAGCTCTTTTATCTTTTATTATCAATACGACTTCATTCACTATTTAAGTTATCATCTTCACGAATATCTTTGAGATCTTCAATTTCCTAGGTCTATCCATAGCCATGAAATTATCTTAACCACCAACACTGGATCTAAAATTGAGGAAAAATTCTCAAATCTTTATTATTTATTTTTCCTTCATCAAATGATAAAATTGCAGTCTTAGAATTATCTTTTCAATTTTTAATGAACTTGATCTTTATGATCTCTCGTGTAAAGACAAATTGAATTTTAACAGTGAAGTTGTTCTCATAATAGAATGGAACTGAACAGAAAAAACAGGATTTTGTCTAATTACTCTAATTTTTCAATGTTTTAAGTTCATGAATGGACTGCAGTTGCTGAGTCATCGCCAAGTTGTGAGGTTAGAATCTTATTTCTCTGCTGGATATCGATTCATGGTCGATTAATTGGCGCCAAAATTTTTATTGAAGCTGTTAAGGTTTTTCTTTGTGTGATTGAGATGGATTTCATGAAAATATGAACTGACAATTGAGCATTAAAGTCAAAAAATGCTTTCAAAAACTCAAGATTTAAGTTTTTTTCTGTTTTCAGAACTTCATTCAAACAAAGAATCAAAATTATGCGCACATTATCGAATTACTACGAAAATAATAAAGGAACAAAGCAATAATTGACCACAATTTAACTTAAAGCTTAATACAGCGCAGTAGAACATATTCTCATAGATCCATTAAACAAGTGAACTGGAAAATTAAACTCAATAGATTTTATTTTGAAGTTTGATTGTTAGAAGCTGTCAAAAGATAGAACAGAGCATATCGATCTCTAGTATGATTCCTGGAGTGTCTAAGGCAAATCTTCATGTTGGTTCATTTACATGAGATTAAACTACGCATAATCCCATCATGTTCTTTGTTTAAAATGGTTGAATTGACTTTATGCTGATCAGGAAGACGATTCTTAAGATGTTTGGTCACAAAAAGATGTTTTTCAAGCTCAAATTAGTGGGAATCATCAAATCAGTTTACTTTTTGCCAGTAAAGTTTGTCAACGACTAATTAAGTTTGTCGCACAATGCAAAAAACCCAAATCTTCTGAAATTCTCATCATTTTAACCAAATCAAATCCAAAACTGCACTGAACATCTCCAAAGAAAAAATCACATAGTTCTCACAAACTCTATTAACCAAAAATCCTTGAATCATTTTTAAAACACAGAAGTTAAGCAACAAGAAGTCCATTTCTCACATTCATCAATTTGTTAAAGAACATCTTAAAGTCTTCAAAAATTCAAATTTAAACTGATCCATTAACTTAATTTTTTTTCGAAACCATAACCATCCACAATACAGCTTTTACACATCACAAAATCCATAAAAAAGCAACCTCATCTTCTGTCTGTAAATTAAGTAATGACTTATTGCAAACTAAATCATAACAATGAGAACAATAACTTCTGTAAGTCATCAAACATAATTCTCCCTTTACAGCATGAACAAGATTCAATTCAGCAACATGTTAACAAAAAAAAAAATAAGCAAGTGTCTGCGCATCTGAATCAATTCAATACGGAGGAGAAAAAAAATATTATTGCCGAAAAAATATTAAATGGAAGTCTTGCGACAATATAAATTACACAATTTGTCACATTTTTCACACGCTTATTAGCATTATGAAATTATATAATAGAAAATATGTTCAAGTTCACATACAATCCGATCAATCATAAGAAGAACTAGAGTTTTATGTTTGAATTTTTTAACTGAGTTTTTGGTAGAGGAGTTTGCAGTTTGTCCAGAGTTAGGGTGACCATCTGCGTAGTTTTACAACGGACAGTCCTGTATTTCAAAACCCTGTCCTGTATAAATTTTTAAATTTTGTTCCAGGTCCTGTATTTTTTTCATGAAAATTTCCGTTAATTTTCGAATTTTACTCTATGTCCTGTTTTTTTCGAAAAAATTTACCAAATGTCCTGTATTTTCATGAAAACTAGATGGTAACCCTATCCAGAGTTTATGTTAGATTGACAAGTTGATTAAAGAAGAAATATCATATTAATACTTAATAAATACTTAATATGGACTAATGAACATAATTTTTGATTGTACAGAGTTTTCGAACCTAAATTTGATTTTTTGAATCTTAAGTTCAATTTTTGAACATGAAGTTCAGCGTTTGAACCTTTAATTTAGTTTTTAAACCTCAACATCAGTTTTTGAATCTGTAGTTCAATTTTTTTAAAATAGAATCAAGTTTTGAACCTTAAAGTTAAGTATTTGTACCTATAGTTCAGTTTTTGAACCTTTATTACAGGTTTTCATTTTAAAGTTCAATTTATGGATCTTAAGTTCAATTTTTTAAACATGAATTCAGTTTTCGAACCTTTTAATTTAGATTTTGAACCTTTAAATACAGTTCTTGAATCTTAAGTTCAATTTTTAAATCTAAAGTTTAGTTTTTGAACCTTTATTTCAGTTTTTGAACCTAAAGTTCATTTTTTGAACCAAACATTTAATTTTTAATTTTTAAATTTCCTCGATTTTATTTTTAAAAATGCGCCTTCAACATCAAAATGTTCAAACTCGTAAATTTTTTTTCCTCTAAAATTTCTAAAGGGGAAAAGCGTGTCAGCACTTATTTAATTAAATCTGTATCATTCATAAAAATTGTTTTAAAGCTAATCCATTATGAGCCCTTCTTTTGTTGCTGCTCCCAATTGCTAATATTGTTTAATATTTTGACACTGATTATTGGAGTTAATCCTCTTACAAGCTACTTTGTTGACTTGTATATTCTTGAGTAACCTTCCTGAGTTTATCCAAAGAGTTTAGTGACTCAATGCACCTGACCTACATAAATTCACTTGCTTAATGTGCGTAAATGTGATTAGCACCTTACATCCCTAGCCTTTAAAAGCATGAAATTTCACTACTAAAGACTCATTTGTTCCACTTGATTAAGCATTGTGGTAAAAACAACAGATTTGCATTCCCCTTAACTGTGCATGCATACACATCTCACCCCTACGATTAAAGTCAATTTGTATCAATTTCATCCCCTCGATCTACTTTATTAAATATGTTTATGCCATGACAAATGATGAGTAAAATTATGATACGATTTTAATTAAAAAATTGCTCCTTTGCCTGCTATTGCTAAGCAGGAAGGATGTGATTTTTGACACATGTGGAACCCCTGCATACTGTGACTTGTACTGCACACAGGATTGTATTTAGGGATGAACAAGGACACATAATAAGCATTTAGAAGTTCACCCCTTGTTATATCCTTATGCTCCGCCCATCCGATGACAGGATGCAGCCAATAGGAACCGCACAGAATGTTGCCAATGATTTTTCATCTTGAAAGAAGTTTTTCATCATTTTAGTGAAAATTTTCAATCTGATAAGAACGGAATCAAGCATTTAAAGTGACAAAAAAATGACACATTTTGGTGGTGAAAGTTGGAATGGCAATCATTTGCCAAATTCAAGTGCTGTGTATAGTGCACCAGAAGTTCCTTTTCCTCAAATATGGAATCAAGAAGGACCGGCTGCATACAATGACATTATAGGATTTCAAGACTTAGCAATTTGGCCAAGAAGTCAAGTTGGAAATTTTGTATCTCAACGGCTCTCATCACCCAGAACTGCATTAACTCCATCCAGTTCGTCCACAAATCCAACATCATCAGCATCAAATAAAAAGTCTCGACGTCGTGTGGCAACAATTGCACAAAGGAGAGCTGCAAATATTCGTGAAAGACGACGGATGTTTAATCTTAATGAAGGTGAGGAACAGACATGATTCATACCTTTTAGGCATCTACATTATCTCATTGATATTTTCAGCATTCGACAGATTGAGACGGAAAGTTCCAACATTTGCATATGAAAAGCGATTATCACGAATTGAGACACTTCGACTTGCTATAACTTACATTCAGTTCATGTCGGAACTATTAACTGGTCAACCGAGTTCACCAAGTCCATTTTCATCGATTCATTACAGTCATCAGCATCATCATCTGCATTTACAGCAACAGCATTTGAGATTTAATTAAAGTGGATGTAAAAATTGTGTGAAGGAATTTTTGTAAAAATGTTTATGGCTTCCAGAGGGGTTTGGATGAGTTGTAGAGGGATTTGGATGTTGACTGAAGATACTGATAGTTGAATTCTCACTGTTGATTGGCAAATTGATTCAGTTTAAGCATGAATTTCGGATTAGAATACAGAACTGTACCTAAAGATCATCAATATGATGTTTATGGATGATTTTGGTTAATTGAGAATAGGAGTGAGCGTTTGAGCATAATTGAATCTCCACAGAACCTAATATTCGATACATTATCAAACATAGATCTTGTTAAAGGTGTAGGCAGATCTGTCAGTGCGAGATTAAAGTTTCTTTAGTCGAGTGGTTAATCAATAGACTTTATACATGTAACCTATATGGTGAAGATTTTGGTTCGATTCCCATCATATAATAAGTTTAGTATGACAACTTAATCTTGATTCTAAAATGCCCAAGACCCCAGTTACCATCCAAATCAATTTAACTCAAATTCCCTCAACCTAGTATAAGTGAAATATGTATGGACAATAAATCCTAGTCCACCATAAGTTAAGGAAGTGTTAGATAATCAATATTTAAATCAGTGAATTAAAATACATAAAAAATCCTCAATGCTGCTACAAAACCTAGTTTATTTCATAATCAACTTTAAATCCAACTGCAGAAACACTCATTAAAATAGCAAGAAAAATAATATATGATTGCAAAACCCAATTCTAGTCATAAACCCAAATAACATTAAAATGTGAATAAATACTATATTAAGTACTGCTAAAAAGTTATATAATTTAATGTGTACTTTATGATCCAGAAATGAAATTAATAAATTTATTAAAAAGAATAAGGCACAGTCAGTCAAACAAGAAAGGTTTTTAATAATAATTTTGCCTCAATCTTAATTTTGTAATAATGCAGTGAGCACTGAAAATCAGTACTGCGCATGAAAGTTGAGAATGTGTAAAATCGTTGAGAAATATGGAAAAAAAATATTAATTGAATTTTTTTTTTTCGATTAGAGTAAAAAAAGTAATAAGTCAGTAAATCATAAAGTCAGGCTACTCAAATTTAAATAGTCATGATTGAACTTGTTTAGTCCATTTAACTTGTGTACCAATGTGCTTTCAATTAGATCTAGTAAAGCGTGAAATTGATGTTTGACTTTTTTTGGCCAGGGGATGAGTACTTGGTACTTGAAAGTTGAAATGTTCTCAAAGTTTTTGAATTTTTCTAATTTTCCCGCTTTTACTAAATTTCCTTCAGCATTTAATCCTTCAAAAAAGTGCCCATCCCTTGCAACACCTCACCAAACCTCTCTATTCACATTCCTCTTTCGTCCATTTCTTTTTCATTTCTAACATGCGCTTTAATGCCCATATAATAACAAGCAATAATCTTTTTAAACAACAAATCATGTCTAATAATCTAAACTGCAATCGATATTGATATTGATCGAGTGCCATGGAAGCAAGCAGCAAATAGTAACGACGAAAAAAAATTTCGTTGAGTGATCAAGACCTCCAGTGTGATTATTAACAAATTGAGGAATTTTCATGGTTGAAATTTGCAAGTTTGGACAATTGACTACACACATGCTGCGATAGATATGTTGAGTATGTGATTGTTTTAGTTATTAACGAGGAAGCAGAAATACTGACCCGAAAAAAAAATAAAAATTTCGCCAGAGTTTTTTTAAATTAACAAGAAGACTTTTTTGAAGAAAAATAAAAGACACGACGGATTTCCCAATATATCATGAGATGTCGAGTCAGCAGCAGCAAAAGAAAAATAGTGAGGCTGAGAGATTGTGTCGATGATGAATGAAATAAGCTTGTCGGAGGTGGTCACAACTCTTGCACTAGAAAACAGTATTAATTAATTATGTTTTGCGCATTGCTTATTAATAGGGAGTGAACGATGGATTGCCCAAACTACAAACTGACATGCAATCATCATTCTTTTCATTCGGTCATTAATCTGATTCCGCACAGTAATTAATTAATGGACTTTTTTTTCTCATTGCATTCTTGGCATTCAATAAAAATTTAAAAAAGGCACATTCACTTATTGGAAATCATGCTGGACTTGTTTATGAAGTAATTTGGATTTATGGTGCGTAGTCACTCCGTAATGGATTCATTTGAATTCTGGAGAATTAAACTTAAAGCGTTGACTTTTGTTAAGGATTGAACTTAAAGCGTCGACTATTTAGTTTTGAACTTAAAGCATCTACTTTTGTTGAGAATTGAACTTAAAGCATCGAATTTTTTGAGCATTGAACTTAAAGCGTCGACTTTTGTTGAGGTTTGAATTTAAAGCATCGTTTTTGTTGAAAATTTAACTTAAAGCGTCGAATTTTGTTATTGATTGAACTTAAAGCATTGACTTTTGCTGATAATTGAACATAAAGCGTCGACTTTTGTTTAGGATTGAACTTAAAGCGTTGACTTTTTATGAAGATTCTCTACAAAATTAAACTTAAAGCGTCGAATTTTGTTATTGATTGAACTTAAAGCATTGACTTTTGCTGATAATTGAACTTAAAGCGTCGACTTTTGTTTAGGATTGAACTTAAAGCGTTGACTTTTTATGAAGATTCTCTACAAAATTGAACTTAAAGCGTCGACTTTTGTTTGAAATCGAAATTTAAACGTTGAATTTTTAGAGAATTGCAATTAAAGCGTTGAGTTTAGCTAAAAATTGAACTTAAAGCGGTGACATTTATTAAGAAAATTCAAATAAAAGCATCATCCATTCTCAAAAACTGAACTCTCACGGTCCGAATAATGTCAAAACTTTATTCAATCCTTCTTCTTCTCTCCATGACTTTATTCTTTCGTCTTTTTTTTTTTGAAGTTTAATGTACAATTGTGTTGCAACTTTCCCTTTCAAGCGCCGCATACAAGAAATGACACAGAAACGAACAACAACAATATTTCAAATTGCCGCTGCGTAACATTGACATTGAAAAAGTATATCCACAAAGAGTTTTCTTTCCTTCTTGTTTTGGTATAGCTTCAATATTTGAAAATTATAGTCTTTATAATGAAACATTCACGTTGAACTGCAATGTATACAGTATAATGATTGACATGGTTTGCCATACGCAATTCGATATAGATTCATAGCTTAAGATTGTAATTATTTATTGAACAGAATATTTCTTGCATGCGGTTTACTTTGTATTTTTTTGTTGTTACACGAAAAGTATAGCTTGTTCCATTTATTTTGTCAGTGATGCAATTGCGGTTCATGCAAAAAAAAATTGAAATAACAAATAGATGATTAAGTGTAAGCGACATTCATTACGTACATTATCGAAGGTGCAAATTTGCATTTTTATTCCATTACCGTTCAACTTAATGAGATGCCAAAGATATTAACTCGCTCACTTGCGGTTTCGGCATTGCATTTTTAAATACAAGAAACATTTATTGTTTTGCTCTAAATTAGTCATAATCTTGATAGTTTATGTATCAAATTGTAGCTAATTAGGAATAAAATATAGTCAATGAACTGATCAACAAAGATTATAATCTTTAATTTTGAAAGTCATCAGCTTTATTTGATCGAATGGAATGCATGAGAAAGAATTCCAAATTGGGTGTTAATTTATGTTTTATTTCATAATTATTAGGATAGTCGAGGTAGGCATGAGTCATGGATACTGTGTGCTAATGAATTATTAATCGTTTTGACAGTTTGCGAAAATATTTTAGTTCCTTGAATTGAGTGATTCAAAATTTGCTAATTTTGACAGTAAAATTTATTGCTGTGGCGTGGATTTTGGGATTGGATTGATTCTGGGCAGTGTTGTTGATCTGGAAGGTAAGGCAAAATATTTTAGGGATAATAAGAATCAATTCTTTCAATCTGTGAATTCTGAATACCTTTTGAATTTTTTTCAATTTTATATAATGCTTAAATTCAATCCAAAGCCGTTCTGAGTTATAGCAAGCACCAAGCCAACACCTCTGTCTACTCAATGTTTTGACACATTAATAGTTAATTAATTACAACATAATACTTCATGCAGGACATAATATGTGACCAAACCTTTAAAATATATTGCCTTGATTGACATTCCGGATGGGAAGCAATAAATAATTCTTTAAAAATCCGGGATATCGCCTAAATTAAACTAGATCCTCCTACAATGCAGGAAGCTTTCAATAGAATAATTTAAGTTGCAGCTACTTAATTGCATAGCTTAATTTAATAGTGCGTTAAATCACCTCCCAACAATAAAAGTTTAATTTCATTGAAACTTCCAATTCAGCGTCAAGTTCTTAAATGATCTTCCAAATTTGGTCTTCAACTGAATTTCATTCATTGCCAGCTTGATCTACGATAATCTTGTTCAATTTTCTTTTCAGCATCCTGTCTAGATCATCTAAAAGTTGACCATCTGCAGTGACTTGTCATCAACAAGATCAATTTCACTTCCAAAAAGCAGGACACGTGCGATACAAATCGTATCCAATAATTAGGCATAAAAATTGATTATTTCTGCTATTTTACTCTTTTATGACTTTATTAAGAAAGCAATAAGCATTTTTAATTTTAGCCAAGGTGACAGGCATAGCAACAATAAAATTATATTTTTTTGTGTCTTTATTTTGTTAAAAAAAAGAAACAAATTATTTTGAATATCTGAAACATGAGATCGGGCGTGCATTCACCTCTTTATTATTCCAGTAAATAATCTGACTAAAGTGAGCAAGGTGCTGTTGAAAACTTTTATGTACCGGCGATTAATTTCATTTGTAAGTCATTTTGACAGAGATTTATTTGAATTAAATTTTGGATTTTTTATTATGTGTAAAAATTGTTTTGATGAAGAAATTATTGATCATGTTAAGCTATTGAGTCAATCTACACTTTACAATTACTAGTGCTGTTGTTATCGATCTTTAAGTACAGAAGTGATTTCGGTCAACTTTATGACACATGAATATCAAAAGCTTAGGTTAGGGTTACCATCTAATTTTCATGAAAATACAGGACTTTTGGTAAATTTTTTCGAAAAATACAGGACATAGAGTAAAATTCGAAAATTAACGGAAATTTTCGTGAAAAAAATACAGGACCTGGAACAAAGTTTTCAAATTTATACAGGACAGGGTTTTGAAATACAGGACTGTCCGTTGTAAAACTACGCAGATGGTCACCCTAGCTTAGGTTCAATTCTTATCAAAATTGACTAGGGATTAGTTCCAAGGGTTATTCAAGGTATCCAACCCTACTTACTTACTTACTGTAACTATGTTCCTATGTGGAGCTCAGTCTGACTGTGTTGTTGGCTCTGTCACCTAATTTGTTCAATTTCTCTGTCAGCGCATTAAGCTGTTCTGCGCTAAGTAGCTTTTGGAGCTCCTAAACGTCTTTTCCCTTAGAGATTCCAACTAAGGACGGTGTTACAAACTTGTGTTTCTGCCCTAGCACTGTCATTCTCTCTGCCATATTACCCAACTCTAGTCACAGTCTACTTTTGCCCGAGCTAAGATGTTGGCTCCCAATTACTTGATCAAAAAAGCCAAATTCCACAAACGTCCTTAATACATCACTCCCACATTCAACAATGATC